TCTGTCCCAAATAATTCGCCACGATGAAAACAGTTTATGCTGTAAATATTAAATTGTTAAAAAAAAAAAAAAAACACAGCATTGGTGCGAAATGATTTCGCGAACCAGACAAGACAGAAAGCCGAAAGTCTGTAGGGATATTCTCTATGCACGTATGAGCTAAATATTTCAACTTCAGCTATCGTGCACGCCCACACTGCATGTACGGTCAAGTCAAAGTTCGCAGTTGGCAGTGTGCTCCTTGTCCACCGAAAGGTCATGATATCTGTCCTTACTGCTGTAGGTTTGCTCTTGCATACAGCTGCACCTGTCATACCACTGACCAAGTGCACTTTCTCTCGGAAAACCATTTGGATAATCACTTGGTTCCCAGTCCTAGTTTTTGTCGTTCCTGATTGCCAACAAAGGTAAATTTATGTATCACTCAATTTCACTTCTAGTGAAAGCTCCTGGGGTTTGGAATTTTTTCTATAGTTCCTGGAGTGTTTTTAATAATTCCACTTATGAAACACGTGGATCTACATGACTTATTAGCAGTTAAAACGCACATGACCTAACTGACGGAAGCTTCTTATCTCACTTTTACCTTTTTTCTCATACTGTTCTTTCTTTCTGTATTCTATCGCGCCTTCGCCATTTCGGTTTCCAGGGTCAACTTAGTTGCTACAGTCAGCTTAATTTTCTTGAGCGGTGCCTTAATTTAGTGCCAAGAGTACTGAGACTACACAAAAACCGCTGTGGCTATCCCATAGTAATGATATTACTGGAATATTTCCACATGCCACAACTATAGCAAACCTCAATTTGTATATTTCCAATTAGTTCTCCCTTATATCATCTAAATAAGGAAATCACTGGTGACGCGCACCGGGTGGGCCAGTGCGATCATGCGTTTTTGCAATATTTCTTGAAGATCGCTCGGAAACAGAGTAGCTAGAAATGTGTGATATACTGGTCCTCGAAGTCCGGGAAGCTAATTGTCTACGCGGTAGTTGGACAGGGGACATTTCCTTGAAACTTCCTGGTTCTTGAGTTAGCAATTTTCCTGCCAAAAATTTTCACGGGGCCGTACGTAAAAATCGCTCATGCCCGGAGGATGAGTTTGATAAATTTAAGTCGTACATGCGCTGGGAACATCCTCTGAAAATTTCAGCTTTCCAGCTTTCCTAGTTTCCGAGTTAGCCATTTTCGCGCCAAAAACTTTCGTTGGGCTGCACATGAGAACCACGCGTGCGCGGGAGCTGAATTTGATAAATTTAAGCTGTAGATTTGCTAAGAACATTCTCTGAAAATTTCAGCCTCCCAGCTTCCCTAGTTCCCGAGTTAGTCACTTTCCCGCCAAAAATTTTTACGGGGCCGTACGTGAATATCACACGTACTTAGGGCTGAATTCGATAGTCTCAAGTTGTACTTAAGCCAGGAACATTCCCTGGAAATTTTAGCTCCCCAGCCTTCCTGATTTCCGAGTTAGCGATTTTCGCGCTAGGAACCTCACGGAGTCATACGTGGGAATCACGCACAACTGGGACTGAATTTGAAATCCATGAGTTCTATGTAGACGGGGGACATAAACCTCAAAATTTCAGCTTTTTAGCTTTCCTGGTTCCCGAATTAGCGGTTTTCCCGCCAAAATTTTGACCTCCTCGTACGCAGGGCCCAGACTTGCGTGAAGGTTGACACTGCGGTCCTAGGGTGGCACTTGGCCGGGGAGCCCACCGGCAAATTTTTGGCACCTGAGCTTGCTTGGGTGTCGAGTTGAAATATCCGGGCAGACACGCGCACACACACACACACACACACAGCGAGGCCGTCGCAAAATGCGTTTTCGCATTTGCATATATGCAAAAAAGCATAATAATGCGCATCGTAAGTGCGCAAAACTGACTTGAAGTGTGTATCAAACTAAACGTAGGCTGGAACGCACCAGGCGAGCCGGAGCGATCATGCGTTTTTGCACAAAACTTG